ATTACATGAATAATGCAAAATCACATTGTATCTTCAACCAAATCATGATTTTGACACATTGTATCTTCAACCTTTCTTCTCTCCATTTTCCATCATTACATGCATATTAACAAAAATCAATTCTGTATTCAAAATTTAAGGACATCTTTAGAAAGGCATGAATTGTGCTCATCAAGTCATAAAAACAAACCTCCTGGGGAAGTTCATGTGCAAGCAAAAATAGAGTTCTGGACCACCCACCAACTGATCCATAAAGCAAAAAAGCACTTCCCAGAGCCATTCCATCAGTAAAATTGTGCTGCAACAGTAGTAAATAATGTCTAATTAAATAAAAATTTCCTTTCAATCTAGTATTGCAAGTAAATCAAGCTGACAATAACTGTTGTTCAAGGACATGAACATATCTCAAGAATACAAACACAGAAAACATACTTACAACACCATCAGAGAAAAGATTGAGATAGCCAAACACCAGGTTTGATGGTGATTGAGAAGTTTCCTTCTGTACCAAGGTTTTAATACTATTTGCACAGCCATCTGAAGGATCTATATCTGATTTATCATCACTAGGACCAGCAGAAGTCTTTCTCTGTGGGATGCAATAATGTCAGACGATGTTTAATATTTATTTAAAGATTTCAGTTCAAACTACATCTCATTGTTGTCATTAGAACTCTTTAAGTGTTCTACATCTCATTGTTGTCATTTTCTTCACATTCAAGCTTCCCTTTCACAAAATAAATTTAGGGATTTTAACTCCAAATGGCAATTTATTTTTACTAGAAAAGTAACATATGTTCAAATCAAGACAAACAAACAAGAGACAGATATTTTATCAGTCAATGGACATATGTTCATAACTGGTTGACACATTTTTCCCAAAACAAATCAACCCTCCATGCAGTGCAATCCAGTTCTAATTCCAGAATTAGTAAAATGCCATAGCCAGCAATTAGAAATACAGCCAGTCTCAGCTGTATGTATCTCCTCATGTAAAAGTTTGAACCCTGCTCAAACCAACTACAAATTTAATCCATTTAAAAACCATGAGCAACAGCCAGATTAAGAATTAATCTTGGTCTGACCGACTCTAATGCTGTAGATACCAAACCCTACCTTTCGAATCTCATGCTGAGTTGTATTATCTCCATTCAAAGTGTCATCTGATCTGTCATCTAGTGATTGTGAATGGTTTTCACGAACATCATCATCATTTTTCAATTTTTTATTGCTTTTGTGATGATGGTGGTGATGACCATGGCTAGCCCCTCCAGAGTTTTCTTCAACATATCTTACCACCTTTTCCACAAGAAGAAACATTACTATCCCAGCTGTGACATAAGAAAGAAAGACTACCATGACAATAGTATCCAAAATAAGATCAAGGAAACAACAGAACAGAGAAGAGATAACCTTGTATGAACCATGTGCATCAAAATACAAGTATATCCCTAGAGTATTATGGCATGATTTCTTCTACAGCAAATAAATGCCTCTTCCTTTTATATTTTGCTGGATTTACAGATTCTAGTAGAAATTATGCAATGCAAAACTTCTAAGATTTCAAATGACAGGTAGTTAACATCAGCTCTAGCCCAAAGGAAAGCCAAAATGCATTCTCCCCAACAAAGCCAGCTATAGAACAAACTTTTCTCATTAGCCTTACATTAAATGGATTAGTTGACTTCAAGAAAAACCTCCATCATCATGACAAGTAAGATCCATCAATTATGCAGGTCACAAAATCCCTAGAGTTTTTCACTTTTGTTTATTTGTTTTCTTTTTTGGGTATTTCATTTTGAAAAATCTATAATCTCAGGCGTTAGACTCCCATCTATTCCTTGACAGCAACCAAGCAGCATCAATGTTCTTAAAGTGTACCTATTAACACTTGTATAAAGCAATCAAAATTCTCAAAACAAAGTGCTTAACTCATTGAGCCTTAATAGTAACCAAGCACTCATTGTAATAACAAAATCTTGTGTTCAAATTGAGGCAGCCCTCTTCCCCAAATTTTTTCTTGATTTATAGGAAATAAAACCAAAGCACGTATGGCACAATGTCTATGTTTTCGTGTGTCAATGAAGACCATTAAACTTCAGGAGAAGCAAATGACTGATAATGTTTCTCTGTTTTTTTTTTTTTTTTGTTTTTTCTTTAACTTTATGAGTATGATTCATGATCAAGACTAATTTCACACCCACAGCTCAATCTAGGCCCCGCAAACATTCTAGATTGCTACAGCTCCAGAGATGCTTTCTCCTTTGAAATTATCCTAAATTTAGTATTTCATTACTCTGTAAACTTTATTTACTTAGCTGCTTTAAATTACTAGAAGAAAAAAATATATCTATACTATATATAAAAGGAGCCCCGTTGCTTCCACACTTGGCCAGGTGGAGGCTTCAGGAGGGGTGTGCAGCTTGTACAAGGCTTCCAACAGGACTCCCAAATTTTTCAATGTGGACCCTAGAGGAGGGAGTTGTGATGTGTGTTGGTGGTGGGCCGCATCCTGACGGGTCTAAGCTGGGCTGACCGCATGGGCGGGGGTTTTGAATGCTCCCTCGGGTTGGCTTCAATCCCGGTAAATTATTAAAAGCAACAGTATAGAATAGAAGCATCACAAGTACACAACCACCCAAGAAGTAATTTTTTTGGGTTTTTTTCATTATTTATTAATTTTAAAAACAAATAATTCCTAAATATGCCATTCTAATAGAAAGATTAGGACAATAACTAACATATTGACCAAGCAAAAGATAAAGAACTTCCTACAAAGAGCAAGAAAAGAATAGAACACATCAGCAAAAGAATTATAAAACCAAATCTGCCAAAAAATTTTAATTG